ACAAAAGATCTGCAGAGATGGGACACCATGATGGAATATATTACCTTGGTCGTTGTTATGAAGAAGGAATTGGGGTTGAAAAGGATGAATGTAATGCATATATTTATTACAAAAAATCCGCAGAGATGGGTCACTCTGATGGAACATATAACCTTGGTCGTTGTTATGAAGAAGGAATTGGGATTAAAAAAGATAAATATAACGCGTATAATAGTTATTTTAAAGCTGCTAATATGAGACATATGGAAGCATTTGCTAAAATGGAAACTCCTGATGGAATATTCTATACAGGTGTTTTTTATGAAAAAGGAATTAACTTTAAGGAAGATAAATATTATGCATATGTTAATTACAAAAAATCCGCAGGGATGGGACACTCTGATGGAATGTATAACCTTGGACGCTGTCATGAAGAAGGAATTGGGGCTAAAAAGGATGAACATTATGCGTTTATTTATTACAAAAAATCTGCAGAGATGGGTCACTCTAATGGAATATATAGCCTTGGTCGTTGCTATGAAGAAGGAATCGGGGTTAAAAAGGATGAACATAATGCGTTTATTCATTATCAAAAGTCTGCAAAAGCGGGGCATAGTGATGGAATATTTCGTGCTGGAATTTGCTATCAAGATGGAATCGGGGTTGATAAAAATATCACTAAGGCGTTCATTCATTATAAAAAATCGGCAGAGAAAGGAAATACTGGTGCAATGTATACTCTTAGTAATTGTTACCGAAAAGGAATTGGGACAGCAAAAAATGTACCAATAGCCGATTATTGGTCTCAAATGTAAGTTTTGTACGTATAATTCATTATCTATCCCGTCTGTAATTTTATTGTTAATATAATATCAAATTAGGGGAGAAAAGTCTTTATCAGGTAATTTGATTATCGCAATTATTTATCATAAATAACTTCCAAAGTCTGATTGCTGAAATTTTCTAGGCATAAGTGAATTTACACAAAATTTCGATATAAATGATGATTTAAAAAGAATGATTAACGAAGATAATCATCTGTCATATATTCCTTATAACGAATTTAAAAATACTAAAAAAATAGGATATGGTGCATTTGCAACAGTATTTTATGCTAGATGGGAAGACCAAAATAATTTATCAAGAGATGTTGCACTTAAATTAATTCATGAATCAAATGAAAATCATGAATAGTCATAAATGAGGTAAGTTTTATTCTTTTTTATTCCGTTAGATATGTGTAGTCATTAATTATCCTATTGCCTTTATTTAATAATGAAGTTAAAAGCATTATATGATATGAGTGATGAAAATCCTACATTTTTAAAGTGTTATGGTATATCAAAAGATGAAATTTCGAAAGATTATATTCTTGTTATGGAATATGCATCAAAGGGCTCTTTGCGTAGTAATTTACATTCTATAGCCCAAATGGAGTGGAAAGACAAATTGACAATATTGCTCCAAATTGCACTTGATCTTCAGACAATTCATTCTCAAAATCTTATTCATCGTGATTTACATAGCGGTAATATATTGCAAAATAGCTTGAAAGATGCATATATTGCAGATTTGGGTCTTTTAAAATCAGTCAATATGCCGGAATCTAGTGCAGTCTACGGAGTTTTACCATATATAGCACCAGAAGTGTTAAACGGAAAACCTTATACTATGGCATCTGATATCTATTCGTTTGGTATAATAATGTGGGAAATTTCATCAGGAAAACCTTTATATTATGATCGAAAAGAAAATGATGACGATCTTATCAAAGAAATTTGTAATGGTCTCCGTCCAACATTTGCAAGAGAAATACCACAGATCTATGTTGAATTAGCGAATCACTGCATGAGTGCAAATATACCTGAACGTCCTTTAGCAAGTGATCTTCAAGAGTATTTAGATAGTTGGACAAAAAAAAGTTTTTATATAATAATTTTTAACGATGCTAATATAAATATAGATATAGCTAAACATGAATCTGAATCCTTAAACGATTGCGTAAATACTATGAGCTCATACAAATTTATAAAACGTTTGATTGGTTCAAACTCTACAAACTTAAAAGACTTTTCAAAAGATTCTACTTTAAAGAAAGAGGATTTTATTATTTTAGACTCAAATTTTAACAATAAAAATTCTATGTAAATAATATTTATATTTTGATAACATTAATAGTATAATTTTTAGATACGCAAAATATTGAAATTAAAATCTTTTTATATATCAACATTTATAATTAACCTTTCAACTGTGGATTCAGAAAAAAAACTCTTGCAAAGAGTTTCATTTTTATTAAATTTTAGATTCTTTTAGGCGTTTATAATTTAGATATTAGTAAAGCAATAAATAGTACTATAAACTTTTATATTCGTAAAGTTAAAATTAATTTAATATTAATAATTCGAATTTTTATAATTTATCACATCGATCAGTGTTGGAAATTCAAAAAAAAGAATACCGTATAAATCCGAAATAACGCCCGTGAGCGTTATTTTGAAAATCAGAACCTTTAAAAATAACATATGCAATTTCGAATTAACGCGCAAGAACGACGTTTGTTAGCTCATTAATGTAGGTGTACTTAATATCAAACCTGGTTCTGGAGTATTTTTTATTTCTTATTATATTTATTACAATTTTTCAAAATAATGCATATGGGCATATTCAACTTAATGTGTAGGTCAATTAATTTTTTTGGGGTTGTTTCTTTCTAGTGAGTGCAGAATTACTGTGTACATATATTTACAGAAATATTTTACTACTTAGTTATCTAGGTTATGTTAACCCAACATGGATTGTTGATCTTTTGCAGTACCTTTAACAGTGTTTACATTATCTTGTTTAGAGATGGGCAAAATAGTATTTTTGCTTACTGTGCATGCGCATGATATGCTGCATGCATGCATGCATGCATGCATGCTATATGCAGCATAATTAAAATTTTATTATTGGTTCATAATATCAAGAATAGATAGCCGTTAAAAAAAATCAATAAATTTTTTAATATTTAACCATCTTAACCGTGTTGCTGTTTAATTTAGCTAGTATTAAGGTAATTTTTGGTAATTTTGACCTGGAATTATGGAACAATTCTTATGCGGTGTTCTGCTCTAAATTAAAAGGTGTAAGCGCAAATTAGCTTCGAGCACAATATAGGTTGTGCGAGAAGGATGGTTTATTAAGATTTTAGGTTTAATGATAGTTGGGCATTTAACAGTTGAGGAAAGTATAATCATTAAAGTGATCAGGCTGTGTGTGTTATCCTATTAACCGTTGTTCCTATTATCCGATTCTACAACACTTGCCAACTACTTCATTATTTCCTAATTACCTTCTTACTTATTAAATTCTTCAACTAATTAACTATTCTTCATTTTATTAATCGTTAGGTTATACGTATATATGCATTCTATACCTGATTTTGATATGATCAGTAATAATCTATTGACGAATTATCATTACAATAAATGTAACCATAGAATGTTCCCAATTACATATTATCAAAGTTATATTAAGTAGAATAATTGTATACAAATTTCAATAAAATTTATAAATTAATATTCATCAATTAAGTCATGTAGTAAAGTTTGTAAAAATTTAAATTTCAATAATGAAAATTCAATAAAGCAAATAGGTGTAAAATCTTTATTACACATTTTTATAAAACAACTAAATTTCGATGATAAATGCTTTATGATCTTCTTTCAACTAATTCTTCTATTTGAATATTTTTATATTCATCTTTTTCAATTTTGCGATACCTTATGTTCATCTTTTTGGCCCTAATTCAATTAATAAATGTTTGTGCCTATACCTTTCAACTTCAATTTCACAAATGTCTTCCGTTTCAGCAGACTTTGATAATGAATGCTCTACATTCATTTATTCACTTCAACAAATAAACTGTTTTGATACAAATGGTGTACATTCATTTTTAATCTATTTTTGACAATTAAAAGATTAATGAAGGTCTTACATTTAACATTTTAATTCCAATTCTAATTAATAATAATTATATTTACCTTTATAAACCCAATTTACCACACATCCCAACAATGAATATTTTATGCTTATATTTTCAACCTAAATTCCATTAATGTTCCTTATTTTGATAGCTAATTAATGCTTTAAATTTGTCTTTTTCAACTCAAATCCCATTAATGTTTCTATTATAATAATGAATGTTTTATGCTTATCTTTTTCGCTCTAATATTGCTAGCATTTTGTGCTTAGTAATATAGAAATTTTATGCTCACCTATTCATCCTCACTATCTACATCACTTTCTGTTAATAACTCTGTTTCAGATTCTGTTAATTCTATGATCTCATCTTTATCACTTTCTGCTAATCCATCTTCCGATTCACCTTCATCACTTTCATCACTATTATTACTATTATCAGGGTCCAATAACTCAAATTCATGACTTTCACTAGGTCTATCATTAGAACGTAATGCTGCCTCTACTATATCAGATGATTCTAGTCTTGGGCAAGTAAGTTTGTAGTTGCTGTAAACATACACTAGTTTTAACACTTGCTGTGGTGTTAACTGACTTCGTCTTTTATCATGGATATAGGAAAAATTTGACTAATTTCACTCAGAAGCTGCTGATAATGACAGAATTGTAAAGATTCTAGATGCTACTTTATATAATTTAGGAGCTGATTCTCCAAAATTTCCTCCCCACCAAGCAACCAGATCTACTTCATCTATTGCATTTCAAACCAAGTTGAAATTAAATATGCCAGTTCGAGTTTTATATTGAAGTAGCTATCGTCATATAATGTTTGCTTCATGTGGATAATACTGTTGAATAAATGTTGAAACAGTTGACATGCCTAGAGTTGTGTTACTAAGGTTATAATTTTGTATATATATACATATATACGTACGTATGTACATACATACGTAATTTTATATAAATTAGATTTCATGTAATAATTACATCATCTGATAACTCAAGCTAATAATTTGATAGAAGCGCATATTAAAATATTTATCAAATACATATATATTTTAAAAAAATTATCAAAAACTTAAGATTCTTATATTTACCAACTAATACATAGTTTAAAATATAAATTGTTAGACATAAAAATAGTAAGTTAAAAAGAATTATAATAAAACCTTTGCTTACCATGTATTTAAAATTACATGAAATCTAATTTACCATTATTAAAACTTGTACAAAAAATCACAGCTATATAAACATACCATTAACTGAAAGTTTTTTTCATGACATCGCAGATCTAACAAATGTGCCACTGACATTACAGGATGATAAATTTTTTTCTACCTTTTTTCTAATAAATTTTTGATTGTAGAACTTACTGCAGGAAAAATATAAACTAAAATAATAAAGCTTAATAAAAATAAATACATAAAATAATAAATATACTATATATTGATATATTATTTTGTTTACTATCAGATTCAATTTGTTCATGGTACCAAGAATAAAAAAATATCAATCTTGGTGTATCAGACTCAAATATAGCAATACCTGCAACTAATTTATCTAATACTGTAAGTAAAGATTCAATATTTTTCCAAAAATTTTCACAATTTATAATATTAATAACAGCCTCAGGTATTGTAGTATGATTATCATAGACTAATTTAGTTATAGTTAACTTAAGTGCGAGTTGATTTTGAACAAGTGAATTAAGACATGTTGCTGAGGACCTCCATCATGTTTTAACTGGATACTTAAGAGAAATTCATCGATTATATGTAGCTAATTGATGTCTTTTAAATACAGCCATTGGAATTTGATTTCTTCAAAAATATACAACTATTTTTTTGTTTTTTTTAATAAATTTGCACTTCATCTTAATTTCATTATATCACCAACTAAAAGGTTTAAGCTATGTGCAATACAATCTAAAAATAGTATTTTAGGATAATCTATTTCTAGCCAATACCATGTTTTTTTTATTGTGGAAGCATTATCAGTAATGATTACTAAAATCTTTGATATACCTACTTCAATCATTATTTTTTCTAAATTATAAGCAATCGTTTTACCATTTTGTCGCATTTTATTAGTTGGATATGCTATATAGAATACAGGTTTTGGTGTTGTCAAAATATAATTTGTCCAATATTTCTGTATTAAGTTGGACCATCCATCTGATATAAGACACAAATTTTGGCTATTATTGATCAACATTTCAACACTTTTTTTGGTTTCATTGTAAACCTTATTTAGTAAGTTTGTTGAGAGTTTTTTTCGACTAGGCAACTTAAATGCTGGTCGAGCCTGTTTCACAACTTTTTAATTGGTTCCATTTCGAGTAGAGACAAAAACAAGTCATATTGAAATACAGATCTTGCAAATTCTAACTCAAGTGATTTTTGTTCAATTTTAGTAATACAATCAGATGTAATATAATTTGTAATTCGATTTTTGTAACTTTTAGATGTTCTATTGGATGTAACTAAAGTACTAGATGAAGGTAATACAAAATTTAATGTGACCAGAATAGATATTTCAAATGTATTTAGTGATATGTTACTATCACTATTATTTTCATCTTCATATGAATCACCAAAATAATTTTTTTTTTGTTCTGGCAAGATAAATTTACAGTTTTGAAAATGTGTACGTGCAGCTCTAAGGGCATCATTAAATTGTTACTGACAATATTTGCACTCTCTTCTTTTCTGTTTAAATCCAGCTACACATCCTAGTTGAATAAAGTGACTCCAAATTGGATCAGACATTTTTTTCTAAAAAAAAAGCAATTACACACTAATGCTAACTTATTGATTTAGAACTTATTAAAAAAAAAAGTTAATTGACCACTAGTGTAGTAATCTGAGCTTCATACAAAAACAATTTTATTAGATCCAAATCTATTAAACTAAAAAATATTATTAAAAAAAATCGAAGTTAAAATAACTTTATTTGCATAAGAACAAATATTTACACGATGTATTAACATGAGAAACTGTACTAAATTGTACTGAGTTTACTTATTTGTGAGTAATACAAATTTCAAAAAGAAGTTAAGCGAAGTGAAATTTCACGCTTTATTTTAAGGATTATATTATTTGTTCAAATAAGTTTTTTTTTAGAGATTGCAAATAAATTTTTTTTAAGGAATGTATTACTTGCATAAATAAAGTTTTTTTTTTATATGAGTATTCGATATATATAGATAACTATATGCATGGTGCTCATCTTTAATTACAGATTACGCTTTATTACTTACATAAATAAAGTTTTTTTTTATATGGGCATTTTGATATATAAGTTACCAAAACATGCGCATTGTGCCCATCTTTAATTATATTGATATTACTTGCGCAAATAAAGTTTTTTTTTTTTATATATGGGCATTTTGATATATAAATTATATCAAACCATGCACATGGTGCCCTTCTTAATTATGGATCACGCTTTGTTATTTGCGCAAATAGGTTTTCTTCTTTTTTTTCTATGGGCATTTTGACATATAGACCATCAAACCATGCACATGCATGGTGCATGCATGCATGCATTCATGCGCATGGTGCCCATCTCTAATCTTGTTATACATCTTACATGTTATAATCGAAGTCAACACTTATAATTAAGGTTTCTGATACTTATAAGTGATATTGCTATTAAGCTGTTTTGTTTACTAAGAAGAATCAAGTCTTACTACCTGTAACAATTTTTGAACATTTCAATCTTATTATTTTTAACTAATTCAATTTTTTTGCATCTCTTATTATTATATTTGAAACAATTTTTAAATTGGTAATTCAAATTTATAATTCTTATAATCTTTATTTTTGTTATGTTTGTTATTAATTTTTAAAATTTTCTAATAATGGTTTAGAATCTGTAATAACATATTTCAAATCAGACCTATTACTGTTATTAGTCTCTATATTTTAAGTTAGATTTGGTATTATTACTCAATACAAATGTTTTAAATCTTATTATTATTATAAACATTAATGTTTTTTTATTCTTTTTAGTATTGTCTACTATATTATTATTATATCTACTAATATCAAATTATTTTCTAAAATTTTATTGTTATGTTGTCAATATACTGTTATTATATTACAGTTATTTGGCAGATATATAGTAGCATAAAAAATATATAATAAAAGATTAATATTTTATTATTTACTCATTATTTACTTATTATTTATTTGTTTGACCTGTATTATATTGCATAATTTTATATAAAATATATTAAAATTTTAATAAGTTTCAAAATTGATTCAATAATACTATATATACTAAACCAAATAATTTAAATTGAACTTTTTTTATATATTTTATGTAGCAACTTTCATTTTTTTGTTATTTTAATAGGCCTATATAAAAATTCTGTGATTTAACATTAACCAGTATTATCTTTATACATAATTTTTACAAAAAATAATTTTATAAACAAAGTTTTGAGTTACTAATGATCAGAAATTAACAAAAATTTGGATTCAAATCAATTCTAATTTCTTCAAATATTTATATAAAATCCAAATCAATCTAAATTTTTAAAGTTTTTTTAATAAAATAGTATTTAAAATAAAAATGCTTTTAATCGTGTGAAATAATTAACTATGATGTAATGCAAATTTGCAAAAATTCAGATTATTAATAGTAATGTTCTACAAAAAATATCAGAATTTTTAATAGGTCATTAAGGTAGCATTTATAAAGAATACTCAAATTAAAACTGTACATATAATTAATATGGAAAACATACTACTGGCAACAAGCTCTACTTGTCTCTCACATGTACCTGTAGCAAGTAGCAGTCAGATCTGAATGAACAGTTGAAAGAATATGCTACTGGTAATAGAAGCATGTGAGAGACAAATGAAGTTTACTGCTAATAGTATGTTTTCTATATTAATTATACGTTCAGGTTCAGTTCGGGTATCCTTTGTGAAATGTAAAATTTATACTCATCCGTTTCTGTAGAACACTAATTAATAGTCGTGTGGCATGGCCTAAATTATATGTTAATTTCGTAATGCTGGCCAAAATCCAAATTTTTTGCGTTATCCAAATTGCACCTGATCTTGCGAGCTACATAGAAAAATTCCTTTTTGGGTTTGTATCACTTGCAGAAATAAGTGTACATTAGATCGAACTTAATTTTTATATTCGAATTTACTTATGTTTCATATTAAGTCGAGTTTATTGATTCATATATTGATTCGCATAAATTGTTCTAACTATTAATGACCGTTAGAACAGCTTTATAACAGTTAGATCTGTTATAATATTTTTATAACAGTCAGATCGATAGAATATTTTATAATGTATTGCATATATTTAATGGATATATAGCATATATAACGGTTGTATTGTATATATACTAGTACTCAAGTCAAATGCCATGTGTTATTGGTTTGAGTGCAATTCGAAATATGTATATGCGTACTCATGTACATAAATTTCACATGTTAATATAAATTGAAAACAAATATCTTGTGGTTATTGAAGTAAGTTTGGAGTCGACTTGACTTAAAACCGACTAGACCGGGCTGTTTAACATCTATAATAACGGCTATTTTGCATATCGCTAGATATTTTATGCACTTTAATATTCAACCTCCAGATTAGACAATAAAATGGGTTTGAAGGGATGAGTAATCCAATATCTAAACTCTAAATTATGAAACTTAAAACGATAAAAAAGTAAAACCCGATAATGATAATTATCCGGCAGCTTACTATGATCATACCAACAGAATAATTCGAGTTATTTTGGTTATTTTGGTGATAATGACGCAATTTCACCAAAAGAATTATCATGTTGGTTCGGTCGTCGTAAGCCACCCGATCAACCGTTATTGGATGCTATGTACGCAACCAGATAAAATGAATCGTTTTGCAAATAATTCGGCTATTGGCTGCTTCGCATCCAATAACTATGTAGTATTGAAAATTCTTATCGTAAGACTAATGATCACGGACTGGACTAACTCTATTACAGCTGTTTTCATAAATTCTGGAAATCTGACCGACCGAATATTTGCCGATTTGATAAGTTTTGACTCAGTAGTGATTACAAAGTTTATCAGAACTTATCTGATCGGCAAATGTTCGGTCGGTGTTACGAAAAATGTCATAATAAATTAAAGTACTGTAATATGTAAATCATTTTGAGTCTAATAAAAAGACTATAAAAAGGGTAAATGATCGCTTTTGAGGAATAAGATTTCTTTTTGAAACGATTGTACTGTCGCACGACCTTTCCTTTTTGGCACGACTATATTAAAATAAAGAACTTTCTTGCCCACTTTACATATTTGGGTTTCGCTTTTGTGTATTACAAAAAAGACTAGCCTATTAACCGTTGTACTTTCGCTCACCTTTTGAATAATAATTGTTCAAATTTTAATGTTAACGATACTGTGCTAAATTGAACACAGGTGAAAAGCTCTTCCAAATCGTAATATCGGTCAATTTTTGCCAGATTTACAGAATTTATGAAAACAGCTGTAAATCGTCCGACAGGGACTGATCCATCACAATTAACGAGGTTTTTTGACGGAGTGCGCAAAATTAGTAATTCTCACGCTCCGTCAAAGAAACTAAATTTGCCGATTTACTAAAATTTCCTAAATTATTAATAATTTACACTATCGCAAATATGTAAGATTTCCGCAAATTACATGGAAGGTTTGGATTCTTCAACGTTCAAAAACTCATCATAATGCAAGTTCTCAATATTTGGGTGTTAGATAAAAAATGATTAACTATCATAATGCGGCACTATATGATTGGCTTACTATATAGGATTTTTATGATTTTGCGATAATTTTTCATAGTCTTTGATAATTATAAAGGTTTAAAATGTTATAACCTTTTTTACCTAGTAAGTAAATATGTCCTATAACTTCAAATGATATATATACATACGTTACTTCAAAACTAATGTTTCTAGATTTTTAATTAACTGTTAGGGTTTATGCCTGATCAACCAATCAGATCGCTTGTAGTTCATAATTTTTGCTTATGAAGCGTGCTAATAAAAAAAAATTGCAAAATTTTGACATAAGAACCGTTTTTACTAATACTTAACTCTGGCCTATCTTAACTCTGGTCCTTACCTTAAATTAATGCGTTAATTGGTTCGTTTTGTTTTCACGTTACACCTGATCTTATAGGTGCATACCGATATGCGCAAAAGTTGGTTATTTAGACATCAAATTTGTAATTTTTACTTTAAAATTAATAAAATTTATAAGTAAATTAAAATCCGGCAATATAATTTTAAAATACCATTAACTATACCTAATTTAGTAAGGAAAAAAAAATTAGAACATGTTAAAATTTTTTATAATTTACATCGTAAATTAAAACAAAGTGATCGACAATGATCGACAAAATCATAGCGATAGTGCAGTAGTGCATTATGATAGCAAATCATTTGGTATCTAACACCTATCCTAATATTCGATTGGTTTAGAAAATTATACATTTACGTTTTCGTAATCGGTGGATATTTGAAAATAACACGTGCCGATTGATAATCGTGATCGAGAAAAGGGAGATCTACATTTAGATCTGATCAAGAATCACGATCATACCAATTAATAATTCTGTACAAAAAATAATTAAATAAATTAAGAAATAAGAGAATCTCGGACTAACTTTAAAAAACCTTCCAATGCATCTATAAGCATATAGGATTTTCGTATCAAACCATATTAATCACAATGTGGTGAGACGAAATAAGAACAACTTTAACTATGCTCTAATTATTAAGAATATATACGTAGTAATTTAACGTTCTAACTAAAACTAGATATTTGGTCATGCTTAATTTAATGGGCCAATAAAATTTGTTAACAAAAGAGAAGATCTCCCCTTTTCTATTGAATGCGCCATACATATTAACTTGATTATACATTCGATGGCATCTAGAAACAATGGATTTATTATACTACTTGTCATTATGCATCATTATAAAGCTTTATAAGTGATCGAATACTTTTGCTCTCAGTTCGTTAGTATTTTGGATCACTTTTAGTTTTACTCGGATTCGAATCCGAAAAGAATTCATATTTAAATACTCTAAATATACTTTAATATCCTGCTATGCACTGTGATTATCTATTTCCTTTTAGGAGTTTGTAATACTCGCGAGAATAAATGCTCTATCGCTATCACTAAGCCAAAAATTACTTTGTATTTGCATTCTTAATATACACGAACTAATGACCCAAAATAAAAGTGCTGCGTACGATTACTTACTTAAGCTTTTGTTGATTGGAGATAGTGGTTGGCATATAAACAAAATTTATACAATTACAGCGAACAATTATATATAATCGAAACTGCATAATCTAAATTACTATACCAACTTTTTTACAGATGTTGGAAAGACAGAATTGTTGCTCTGTTTCGCGGATGACTCCTTTACTCCTTCTTTTATCACTACTATAGGAATTGACTTTAAAATTAGAACCATTGAATTGGATGGTAAACGAATCAAGCTCCAAGTGTGGGATACTGCAGGTCAAGAACGTTTTCGTACGATTACTACAGGTAAAACAAGAATATTATTCTGTTTTTTATATTTTTGTATTCAGTATGATTCATATATTTCTAACTCTATCATGAAGCCTACTACCGTGGTGCTATGGGTATAGCTTTTGTATATGATATTACCAATGAACGGTCTTTCAATAGTATCCTTAAATAAATATCAAAAGTTTTAATATATATAATTAAATGAAGTATTCTATATTTTCGCAATATTATTATTATTAACAATTTTCATGGTTAATTAGATATAAGAAATTGGTTTAGTAATGCAGAGCAACATGTCACTGAAGAAGTTAATAAAATTCTCATTGGAAACAATTGTCATTTGTTCGAGAAAAGGGTAAATGTAATGAAAATAAACAGGTTTAAAAAATAAAATAAAAAAATATTCATTATTATTTGTCTCACAGGTGATTACTAAGGAACAAGGTCAAGCACTTGCGGATGAATTTGGAATCAAATTTTTCGAAACCAGTGCTAAAGAAAACATAAATGTTGAGGAAGCATTCTTTACATTAGTCAGGTTTGATCAAATTATTATATATTAACCGGGTGTTAATAATTGCTTAATTATTGGAGAGTTACAAATAAGGGCCCGAAAATGATAAGGTCAAAAAATAGTTAAATATAAGGACCAAAATATGAAAAATATTACAAATGCAGGAGGACCAGATCTATTGTGAAGTTACTATGTCGATTTATAACACAATAACGCTATAGCATTTTTATAATCGAAGACTTTATAAATAGACAAGATTCAGCAGAAGTTGTTTAGAGCTTAACGAACACCTTTCACATTATTACATGTCATATGTATATGTAGTATTGTGGTTAGCATAAATGAATAGTCTAACTTTTATAAAAAGATAGCTAAATTGAAAGTACCAAAACTTTTAGGTGTTTAAATATTATATGCACACATTTTTTGGCAACCATAATTTAATTATATAATCATCTTTGATGCTGAAACTATCTAGTTTATAAAGTTACCCCGTCAAGCAACATTTTCTATGCGAATTGTTTGAAAACTCTGATTCTGATTGCAATATTTTTGAACTTTTAGTTCCTTATCTGTAATTATTTTTATAGGACCTTATATGTAAATAATTATCTTCATCTTGGGTTTTATATGTTTATTTTCATTTTTTTTTGGGCACTTGTTTGTAAAATTCCTTAAAATTTTTTGCTTTAATTACTTATCATTATATTCCTATTATTATATTCCTATTATACTTAATCAAAGAGAAATCAAATATCGGACTATAGATCATGACGTTAATGATCATGACGTTAAGTATGAAAATTACAAAAAATCCGCAGAAATAGGTAATTCTGATGGACTATATAACCTTGGTCGTTATTATGAAAAAGGTTTCGGAGTTGAAAAGAATGAATATAATGCGTTTATTAATTATAAAAAATCCGCTGAAATGGAACACCCTGATGGATTATATAACCTTGGTCGTTGTTATGAAGAAGGAA